CGTGAGCAGCTTTATTATTTGATATTTTTTCTCTGAAACAATATAACGGTAGTGCAAATCGCTCATCTGACGTTGCCCGTATTCATCAGCACTAACTCACGTCTCAATTAGACGTTGTTGCCTTGCCTTACCCATAGTTGAAGGAAAGGTGACGTTGGATTGAATATAGGACAAAAGATCTTGATTGTTCAATTCTTTGGCGAATGATAGTATACATCTTTTTATTACTTCACCATTCATTTGCACATTATCACATGATATAACCGTAAATGGCAAAATACCCGCATTTTTTCGTTTGTTCAATGCATGCACAATAAAGCCGAATACGGTTTTGGGATGGCTTGGATTTTTGAGATCATGTTGGATATCGCCACTATTTACATCTAAATCGTAGCCACATACTGTTATTGTCATTGACACAATTTTTGTATCAGGATGCGACATGACATCAAGAACAGCATCGGGTGAGTCGGGCGCAAATAAGTATTTAGTTAATGATCCAATGATTCTCACATTCACGTCGTTTGCATCGCTACCTTTACAAAGTAATGTATATAAACCGGATTGAGACTGTAATGCATCACTTATAGGCTTATCACATGATCGGACACCAACGCCAACAATTCCCCAATCCGTCAGATTATGCTCCGATGCCAATAGATCCATATAATAAGCGAGATGAGCGCGATGAAATGCACCAACACTCAAATGAACAATACCATGTTTGAGTTTGGTACGATCGTACGATGGTTGATGGACATTTGCTAAAGAACATTTTGATTTATCAATTAACATTTGAGAGAGAACGCACTCTGTTGACTGAGTTGCCATTTCAACGTTAAATGGTAAATGAACCTATGATCTAAAATGGAAGTTCTAACAAAAACGTAAAAGGACGTCTGTTTCTACTGAAAAGCTTTTCTTATCGAAAAGCATTCATATGACTGTCCAAGACTCGGATGCTATGAGATCGTGTTCACTCGAAGACCCAATTTTACATCAAAACTGGATTCATATTCCGATCAATCTCGACATGTCCTTAAAATTGTTAACTAGTAAGGCGCCGCTAATACACATCTTTACTTTTATTTTTAATATACATATTCGGATTTGCCAGAAGCTGCTGATCACGAACATGACCTTCTTTTTTAATTTTGACCGACTTTTCACAGAGAAAACTTCAAAATACCGTGGAGGGCTCAAAAACGTCGAAAACCGTTCCTCTTCGAAAAATATCCTCCAACCGTTTTGTTTCGCATTTTAGCTTTTCTTAAATAAAATTTTCAGATTCTACAACAAAAACTGAATCTAGAAAGCTGTGTCTTTAAGCATTTTGTCGAGAAATGAAATCGTGTCAGGCGTTACAACAGGCGAACCTCAAAGCGCGACACCTCTATCTTGCAAAAACATCAAGTCGGTCATATCAAATCTAGAAACGTCGTTCTTGCACCAAAAGATTTTCCTTGAAATTTAGATAAAAGTTACGTGTACAGATTTTTAAAAACAGTCAAACAATGTTGTACATAGCCTCCTTGTTGTAGCCAAAAATCTATTACGACCTGCTGATGTTATGCCTATTAAGTCGATGTTATGCCTAGTTATCGAGAAATATGCAAAATACTATGCTTTTTCCGCTCCATATCGAAGCAACATCCATTATGATATTTACACGCAGGCTTAAATGATAACTGTCTCCAGTTTCACTGGACTTTCTGGCACGCAGCAGTAGGATGGCGGTTTATTTTCGCTTTAATTCAGGGGATTCTTGCTCCAGAATCTATTGAAGAATATTTCGCGTGAGAGACTATTCT